CTGAAGATATTTATTTAATTTGAAAATAAGATTGTCATGCTTTTTTTTTCACTCTCATTTTTATATGCTTCCCATTTTGAATTGTGTTTAAGAGATAGTTTTCTTTAATTGCCTGTGTTTCTTTTCTCTGGCATTTTCTATACTTTCAAGCAGCTAAGGTCTTCACAAGTTATCTTAGAAACTACAAAAATCTTTTCTGCCATTTTGGATTTTCTTATTAGCAGGAGGATTGAAGGTTGTGATTTCTTTGCAGCTTAAGGCAGTTGATCCTCAGTAGGAGCAAATGCTCACAGCAACCATAAAACTTGAAAAGATTATTGTCTGTACTCAGATATGCCTTTCCATATGAAAACAAAGATTCTGAATGCTACAGATAGCTGCAGGGCTTTAAACTTTTTTTTTTTGAAATAAACCTAATACAGTAGCCACAAGCTCTGAAGCTATATAAAGAGTATCATTAAGCAGAGACATTCACGAACATTACATTTTTAATTAATTTCCTATGAAATAAAGGCTTATAATAACAATCAGTCAAAAAACTAAATGCACATCAATGTTTTATAATATACAATGTTTTATAAAAACATTTATTTCTTTTATACCTGAATAGTTTTGGGCTATTCTAGCTCTATAAAATTTTTAGAAATGAGGACGTTATTTTCACCAAATTTAATATAAAATGTGGCTGAACCTCAGAAATTCTATATTAGTGACCTTTGGCTTTATACAAACTTAGCTGTTCACTTTGTACATAGAGGAATACTTTTCTATTGTTGAAATAATGTCAGAATAATTACAAAATAATAATTTTAAGATATGTGTCTTAGAATAATGATTTCACACGTTGTTTGGGATAATGCACTACAAATGTAAAAAGAAGTCAAGTGACCTGGGAATTAGTCTGTTCTCCTACTATGTGCATACAAATAAATTGTTTCACCCCCTTTGTTTCCCAGTTTATAAAATAAAAAGTTACCCATGAGAATTAGGGATCTTAAGAGGGAACTGTCCAGGAATCCTCAAAATGTAGATACATTGACTTCTGAGAACAGGTATGTCATACGGAGCTTTCAGCAGATATTGATGGTTTTGTATGGTGAATCTAATTTTATTTTTGGATAATTATGGTTATGATTATGAAATATGTCATTTGAAAATCCTCTGAAAAATTTTTGTAGAAGTATAGAAATATATTAAATATAGAAATAGTAGTTACTGTCACAAAAATTTAGATGCTGTTTATTATTTTTATTATTATTAATGTTAATTATTAGATAATCTATGTTGCCTAAGTGGAAAGAACTCCTTATGAGGGTAAAGCATAACAAAGTCAGCAAAATTAGTAACTAACAGAAATAAATTGAGTAACTGAAGAGATACTGGTAAGAACAATAGAACATAAACACTGTAAATCATTATAGATCTGAAATTACATATATAGATAATCTTAGGCCTATGAAATGAATAGTTTCATTTTTCATATGAATAAATTAGACTATCTTTAATTTTCCTCTCTGTGTGGGTTTTAGTGACAGATTGTGATCATGGTACCTTTAAATTTATGGAAAAAATAACAAGACAAAATTTGGAATGAAAAAATAATTAAATCATACAGAAGGAACTGATCATTTTAGAATTAGCAGGCCTGAAGCCAACAATTATTTTAAGTATCACTTACCAGACAAAAAAATTCAACAAACTTCTGCCTAATAGATAACTTTCTCATAAACAGAACTCAGAATGCATACCTTAATTACACATGTAGATCTTAGCTTGCTCATCTTAGCTTTTTAAAAAATTTGTACAGTGTCATTCTTTTCCTCCATATCCTAAAGTTTAGATCTGTGAAACATCTCTTTACTTTTTTTAGTTTCATTCCATATCAAGGAAATATTTAATGTATATAAGTGACCTCTATGTTTGAATGTAACACAAGTTGCATCAACAACGTGCAGGAAGCCAGCATCTTCTTGAGAAATACTTAAGAATAATTGAATTGAATTCTTCTTGAGAATGTACCACTATAGCCACAATTTAATATAACTTCTTTCTTGGGAAAGCTTTGCTATGCAAAGGCACAGACACTTGTTTCACAGCCTAGGGAAAAAGCCTAACTGCTAAGAACTAAAATATTGTTGCTCTGATATAGACTTTCCTGGCTTTGTTCTTCAGATTTTTATATATTTCATTAATATAGACTTTGCAATCTCTCTCATGAATATGTAGTTTAAATAGCCAAAAAATGTCACCAAATAATGTGGGACAATAAGGGTCATATATTGTTATGGGTAGAATTGTTTCGCCTTCAAATTCATATGTTGAAGTCCTAACCCTCAGTACCTTAGAATGTGACTATATTTGGAGACAGGGTCTTTAAAGATACAATTAAGGTAAAATGAGTGGGTCCTATGGTTATATGGGAGCACCCTAATCCATTATGACTGATGTCCATGTAGGAAGAGTATGTTTGGATACAGACATGTGGAAACACGGAGAAAAACTATGTGAATACACAAAGATATGGCTATCTACAAGCCTAGGAGAAAGCCCTTCATAAACCAATCCTAATGACACATTGATTCTTGGACCTAGCTTCCAAAATTGTTAAAAACAAAAATTCTATTATTTAAGTCACCCAGTCTAAGGTATTTGTTACAATAGTCCTAGCAAACTAATACATATATATTCAATTATCTTAAGTAAAAGATGGTAACTAAAAAATGCTTATTATATAAAGTTCATCGTGGAAAACAAAAGAGTTAGTAGTAGAATCCTTGAAGAATGATAAGGACAAAGGTGTGATGTCATTTCCTAACATTCTTTAAGTATGCTGTTCTTGATCATTATGTCTGTTATTAATATTATATCATTTCTAATTTATGCTATGTGAGTTACATTTAAAAAATAATTTAAATGCTGTCAAACACTATAGTGGAAAATCTTTTACCTTCCCCAACAAAAGTGTTGTTTTTAGATATTGATTCTATTCTTAAATTGATAGTTTCTATTATAAGGTATATGTCTTCATCATATATTTTAAAATAACAATGTTTTAATTTCACCACTTATATTTCAGGCAAGATACTGTTATGGTAAAATATTTGCAGTCTCCTGAGTATTTATTTTGCCAAAGATTGATTTTCTTTAATGTTTACATAGTAATTGGCCATAATTACAGATTTTGAAAAATAGATACAGGTACAGAAATGATGAAAATGAAAACCAAGAGGCTAGAGTTCTCATCTTGGTTAGAGTAACTAGATATATTTAATTAGGCCAATTATTCCATGCTTTAAGTCTGTCTCCTTAGTTGCAAATAGAAAATGAAATATATGTTTTATTTTCTTCTAGTTCTAAATCCTATTACCTGTGGTCTATGGCAGGGGTCAGTACAGGACCACAGAGTAATTATTTGACGTGTTTTGGTCCATACAGTCCCTATTGTGAATACTCCACTCTGCTCAGTTCTGTAATGCAAAATCAGCCACGGGTAGTCAGTCATAAAGAAATGAATGTGGCTGTAGTTCAGTAAACTTTATGTATAAAATGAGAGATAGGCCAGATTTGGTCCGTATGCTGATTCCTGCTTGATAAGATTTACATATCACAATCCACAACTAGACAAACAAATATTTATATGGGAAATAAATATAAAAATTATATGTACATAGGAAATAAGGCCTGTGATATGTCATCGACAACATAAGTATGCAAAAAGAAAGTGGTACAAAGATGATTAAGCATGTTGTAGAACAGTAAATTCAAAATAGCAATAAATGTAAGTAGTCATAGATACTACCTAGTCACTACTAGTCATGTTATTGTAAAATAAAATAACAATGAGATAATGCTTTACAACATCAGCTTAAATATTAAAAACTGTGATTATGACTACTTCTTTAGCATTGAAGGGAAAACAAAATTCTCATACATTGTTTTTGGAAACAGTAAATTACAATAGCCTTATTGAAAAGCAATGTGGTAATTACTTATTAAAGTCTAAAATGCATGTTAATATAAATGCTAATCAGTCAAGAAGAAACCAATAATCAATAGCTCAATAACTATCAGATAAATTGAATTCATAGTTAAAATTCTCCATTAAAGGAAACATGACACCTATATGTAGTGTGTTTAAAAGGGCTATTGGTCTGCAATTTCATTTCTGGAAAGATATTACCAGAAATATTTTGGTATTAAACTAATGCTGGTCTCTTAAAATGAGTTGGGAAGTATTTCTTCCTCTTCTATTTCTGAAAAAGGTGTATAGTATAGGTGTTATATTTTGTATACTTATGTAAATAAATAGTAAAGATTGTGTCATTAAAATTCATTTACAATTTTGTTTATATATAATTGTTGTGTTCATTTTGTTCATGTGTTATTATTCATTGTTCAACAATGGTTAAATTTCTGGGAAAGATTATAAACTATAAAAGGGTCAAAATCATCATAACTTAAAAGGGCATTAAGACTCAAATGAGAGAAAGTAAATAAATACAAAAAAATCCCCTGGGAATAGCCATGGGCATTTAAAGGAAGCAAGAATGCCAACCATATTTAAATCCATCTTAATTTAATTTAATTTAATTTAATTTAATTTAATTTAATTTAATTTATTTGAGACAGAGAGAGAGAGAGAGCAAGCAGGGCAGCAGGGCAGCAGGGCAGAAGGGGAGAGAGAGAGACAGAGAGAGAGAGAGAGAGAGAGAGAGAGAGAGAGAGAGAGAGAGAGAATCTTAAACAGGCTCCACGCTCAGCCCGGAGCCCAACTTGGGGCTCCAATCCCAAGATCCTGTAATCATGACCTGAGCCCAAATAGAGTTAGACTCAACCAACTGCACCAGGTGCCCCCACAGCCTTTTTAAAGAAAATAAATTTTTCGCTTAAAATATTTCACTCTAAATGAATTGTTCAGCTGTTAATAAATGCCACTAAAATGCTATACCTTTTGCAATATAAATCCATGTTGTACAAATGAAATATAATTTACATCATACCAAATATTTCCAAATGTAGGGAATCCATCAGCCTACCCCATTGATCTCCGGGCACTTTCTATGTTACCCTGGGCTTCACTTTCAGTCTCCCCTTAGGCTCTAGTTCAGTCCCTGGAGTTCCCAGTGCTGTTGTGCTTGCAGTAACAGAAATGGCTGCAGGGGCTAGAATACCTGCACATGAGTAGCCGCAGTCTTTTCCTTCTTGTGTTTTCTTTGTTACTGGGTGACATCAGGGATGGAGATTGCTGCAGATCATGAGATCCTGAGACAGATCTGGAGCTTGATAACTCTTCTTATAAACTGGGGATGCCGATGCTGCCTAGTTTTATTTTGTTTTCTCACCTTTTGGAATTCCAGAGTCCTGGCCCTAAGACTTGAAGATATGGACTGCTTTCTTTGTGGTAAGCTGCTGCTGCTACTCTTAAGGTGGGGGTGACTGGGCAGAAAACGGTGAAGGGTGCTATGGTGATCTGAAGGTGGTGGTGAGGGCAAACACTGGTTGGTTGTAGTGATGGTGCTTCTTGGCTAAATGGGCTCAGGGAAGGCCCTTTCTTATGCTTTTCTGATAACAAAGGCAAATTTTTCTTGGTGACTGGTTAGCTTCTTTGTGAAGAATGGGGGGAGCCTCTGCATTGCTGTGGTTCTGAGAGTGATGCTTTTGTTTAGGAGGTTGGGCGGAGACGGTTCTTCTCTGGAGAATATGTCCTCTGTGTTCTAGAATGAGTGCCTTCTTGGGGAAGGTGAGCACGGATGTGGGACAGGAGATGGGGGAGAAGGGAGAGAAAGGGGAAGAAAGAAGGAGGAAAAACGTTGCCCTCTGATGCAGCAGTAAAGGCAATTCCCCCCTCTGCAGCAAGGGAAATCTCTTTCCGGCACTTTCGTGGATAGGCACCCTGGGAAGGAGGGTGTTTCTGCAGCCTGCCTGTCTCTATAATTCACATGGGACCTCATGAGTCGCAAGTTGCTGAGAGAAAGAGCCTGAGTCATATAAAGGCTGCTAGTTTTGTTGGCCATCTTTGCGTCTTGAACCGAATCTGCTGCTGCATGTATCACTCTACTTTCTCTTTAACTGGTTTGTTTTTTTTTTTTTTTTTTTTTTTTTTTTTTTTTTTTGTTTCGACAGCTACTTTTCTAGGTTTGAGTGCTGGTAAAGGACTTGCCTTTTCTCAGTTCCTTTAAGTTTTATCATTTTACTTGAAGTTCTGTCTGGAGAGACAGAAGCACGACTTTTTCTTGTGTAGTTGGATTGTACAGTGCTGAGGGAAACGTTTTTGGCGGGGGAGTTGCTGAAGGTTACAGCCGGCACCTTCTTGGAAGACTTGTGGAAGATAACCTGTTAGTTTTACCGGGAGGACTGGATATTCTTGTGGGAGGTTTCCTTGATGGTGACATAAAAGGAGGACAATATGTTGTTCCCAGACAAGGTTGCAGATGAGCATCTTTTTGTTTCATTGGAGATCTCTCCTGTTATGCCTTGTGGTTGATACCTGTCTGATGGAGGAGACACCTGTCTGGTGGAGGAGACACCTGTCCTGTGGAGTTCTTTGAGAAATGGCCTCGTTGGTGGGCTAGGCCACCTCCTGAGTCATTGATCTTCATTGGGATCTATGGTGTTGGCTCTATTGAGAATGAGAAGGAGACTTAGAAGGCATTTGGGAGTTCAATTTGGAACGTGGTCAAGTAAGTATGTTTGTCCTTTTCATTTTTATAATTTTCTTTACTCCCCTCCCCCACCCCCCAACCCCAGGAAGGTTCTCTAGAGTCTGATACATGTTCATCTTTGGGAACTTTTAGGATGTTACTAGTAGAGGTGGCCTCTTGCACTGAAGTTTCTTTAATTTCACCCAAGGTTTTGGGAGCTCTGGCGTCTTCTTCATTTCAGCGGCTAGGGAAGGATTACACCACCACCACCACCCACCGCCCCCCCCACCCCCCCCGGGGGCAAATCTTGGTTTTGTGTAGATGAGATGGAGAATGACTGCCCAGTCTTCATGACCGGGGAAATTCACCTTCTAGGGGAAGGCGATCTGGATGGGGGTCGTCTTAGGCTTCCCGACCTCTCTGTTTTTCTGTTGTGCTTTCTTTTTCCTACTTATCCTTTTATGCTTCATCTTGCTTTTTTATAGATACCAAATTCTTGTATATCTCTATTTTATTTATTCTTCATTGAGCTCTAGGAAAGCAGGATGGAATCCATTGGAATCCAGTCATGTGTTTTTTTTTTTTTTTTCCTGTGTGTAACAGAGGCCACACTTGATAAAATTTCTAGTGTTTCCTTTCCTTCCTTCCATCCTTCCTTCCTTCCTTCCTTCCTCCCTCCCTCCATTCCTGCCTTTATCCCTCCCTTCCTCCCTTCCTTTCTCTAGCTCTCTCTCTCTCTCTCTCTCTCTCTCTCTCTTTTTCTTTCAAAATATGAATTATTTTGGAGTCTGGAGTTTCACTTCCAGCTGGTTGAATATAAACCCAGTCACAGTATCATTTTAAGCTCAAGCATTTCTGTTATTTGCTTTGTTTTCTAGGGCTTTATAATATTCCAATTTACTTTGAACAAGGTTTCTCTTGAGGCCTCTCTTGGCTTGCAGGCAGCCACTGATTTGTTATGTCCCTATATAAGTGGGCACACTCCCTATGTCTCTTCTTATAAGGGCGCCACTCCTATTGAATTAGGGCTCCTTAGGAGCTCATTTAACCTTAGTTACCCCCTTAAAGACCCTATTGCAAATACTTACTGGGGGTTAGACTTCAGCCTATGAATTCAACCTAGATAAGATGCAGTCCAGACAGAGGAGGACTGAGAGTAGGATATAGTTACGAATTAAGTACAATTCAAATTGACAACTACACTGAAAAATGTGGGGATGAAAAGAACTAACCTATGTGACTTTGGAAAACAGTATTTTGGCTGGATAATATAAGACTAAAGAAAAGAAACTACATAGATACTATATTCTATAAATAATACTTAGTAATTTTTTTCACAGGTGTATAGGTTATAATTCTAAGACTTTTATGGATATCCTAGTATTAACAAATAAATAAACATATTGTAAATAAGTAGGACACAGTTTTTCACTGTTGGAGAAATAAGTTCTCTGGTATTACATGTAAGGACTCATTTATCTATCTATCTATCTATCTATCTATCGATTGATCTATTGATTTAACTATCCATGCATTATATTATATACATATAATATAATGTGGTTATATTTCCTAGCTCTGTTTTTATTGAGAGACACTAGAAATGATACTCTTGTAGGAATGAGTACATTTAGCAGTGAGCATTGATATTCATCTCTAAATGCCATTTCTCCTTAAATAAATTATTAATTCTAGGGCTGTGGCAGGAAAATCAAGGTGAATCTGGAAAAACTTATAATGATAAAAAATAGGGAAGTACTATATAGATATAGATATAGATATAGATAGATAAAAACATAGTTGTGGAAGTATATGTAGACATAGGCATAGATATATGTGCATGTAGAAAGGGTAGATGAGGCATTCTGAAAGAACTCTCTGACTAAAACTGAGAGCAGGAAAATTAGAGCAGGAAAATAATAATAATATCAAATTGTAAGCTATAGAGCAAATTAACATGAGTCCATATTTTTATAGATTAAAACAAAATGGAATACATAAATTATTGGGAACATGACAGTGTTCCCTCTTGGAGAAAATTCCCAATGGATGATGTAGAAGGAATGAGGAAAATACAAAATCAACATTAGAACCCCACGGTAATAGCTGAAGAAGGCAAGATTCACAATAACTACTAAAATTTGTGGTCGGAAGTTTGAAAAGAAATAGATACTAATATATTCTTAAAGAGTCTCAAGATATTTCTGAGTTGTAAAGGGAAAAATAATTTTACCACATAATAACTTCAAAACACAACTTTAATGAAATGATCAAGGTTAGTATCTTCAGTAACCAGACATCCTATGTACGACTGATAAGATTTACTGAGAAGGGCAATTCTGTATGCTATTCTTACAAAAAAAAAAAAAAAAAAAAAAAAAAAAAAAGCGTATCACTAAATCTAATCATGAGAAATTTCAGTCAAACCCTAACTGAAGGGCAGTGTAGACAATATCTGACCAGTATCCTTCAAAATGTCCGGGTTGGGGCGCCTGGGTGGCGCAGTCGGTTAAGCGTCCGACTTCAGCCAGGTCACGATCTCGCGGTCCGTGAGTTCGAGCCCCGCGTCAGGCTCTGGGCTGATGGCTCGGAGCCTGGAACCTGTTTCCGATTCTGTGTCTCCCTCTCTCTCTGCCCCTCCCCCGTTCATGCTCTGTCTCTCTCTGTCCCAAAAATAAATAAAAAACGTTGAAAAAAAAATTAAAAAACAAAAACAAAATGTCCGGGTCATGAAAGAGAAGCCTAAGGTACTGTCACAGATTAGAGGAAACCAAGAAGATATGTTGTCTAAATTCAGTTTTGAATCCTAGATTGGACTGGTGCAGAGAAAGAATATTAGTGGAAAACTGATGAAATCTATATAATTTTCTTTTGTACTGTTTATTTTTGAGAGAGACAGAACGTGAGTGAGGGAGGGGCAGAAAAAGAGGCAGATACAGAATCTGAACTGAGCCACCCAGCTGCCCCTGATGAAATCTAAATCAAATCTGTAGTTTAGTTAATCGCATGGTGCTAACATTAATTTTTAGTTTTAATCATACCATTATTTTTCAAGGTGTTAATATTAGGGGAAGCTGGGTGAAGGGTGCAGAGGAAATAATCTGTATTATTTTGTATCTTTTCTATGCATATAAAATTATTTCAAAAGAAAAATGAAAGGACATGAGAATTATAAATTTAAGCCTAATTTTTAGCTTTGGAATTTACTTATAATTTCAACATTATTTACACTGTGATGGTTTCTTGCTCATAGTGCCACCATAGTTTATATCTAAATATATAATAATGAAAATTGTTCATGTATAATTTTTCAGTTACAATTATTATATTTTTAGGTATATAATTTGATTTCCTTCTAAGGTTCTCAAGATTCTAAGATAAATTTCTTTCAAAACTAAAAGCTTATGAATATCTTTTCAGAAAAAAAAATATTAAGATCTGAGAAACCATAGCACTATTGATTAGGGGAGATGGGATTATTGTGTCAGATAACTTTTTCCAGTTGTTTTCAAATATGAGAAAGAAAGGAAACTTACGCCTTGGTGCCATGACTTGTGGACCTTGTTATCAATGCATGCTGCAGAAGAGGTAATAAGAGTAACTTTCTAATTGGCATCTGTTTCCCAAGAAGTCATTATGCATCCACCATAGCATGTGTTATTTCAATATGACAGTAGTTAATTCACCTCAACCACTGCATGGAAGTGAGTTAGTTTAACACATTGACGAATACCTCGGTTTTATAATTCTAGGGAATGTTACCTGAGGTTTTCTTTTAATAGGTGATATTAATACACATTAATTTGATATATTTCCCACTTCCCCCTGGCTCATATATTTTAAAAAAGACTGTGTGGCTGTTCTGTCCTAATTAAAAATTCAACAAAATTTGTTCTTTCTCAAACAGTGTCTTCCTTACCAAACGAAGGATGATTTACACTTTTCTTATTGGGATTGTGATGGTAGTGGTGGTAGTAGTTCTGACAATAAAAAATATCAAGTACTTAATTAGGGATAACATACATTCTACTCAACTTTATCAAGTGATGTGATTAAGAAACAGTTTTAGAGAATTATAATGTATTCCTCTTCTAACCCAGGATGTCAATATTCAAAGTCAAAATAGGTTCAATTACCATTTCACCTAATGTTTAATATACTTACAGGATCATTTTAAAAAACCACTTATATTAATCAGATATGAAGATAACTAGAAAAGAAATGGCTGCATAGATGTATTGCTTTGATTAATATAATGTAATTAAGTGAAGGTAAATGAGACTTTTCTGCTGAGTATTAGTAACAAGAGCAAAG